GCCTAAGCAAGTGCTTAAAAAGCCTACACCTTTTCTTTTGCTTACTGAAAGCCGGAAAGTCCTRGTCCATGTCCTAAAAAGTTCGAGCCTTGTGCATCTCTAATCATATGATAAGATATATGATCATATGAAATCGACAATTTTTACGATTTATACAAATAGCTTACATTCTCTCTCTCTCTCTCTCTCTCTCTCTCTCTCTCTATATATATATATATATATGTATGTGTGTGTGTATATGTATGGGGTAATATCTCTATTTTCATTGAAAACTAAAAAATCACTTGGAACACAAAACATGTGCATATTGATGATGGATATGGACATGACATTTATCATGAATATTTGTATTCACAATGAATGTTATGAAAAAATTCATTTACATGTTATGAACACGTGATACACTCTCTTTTGGTAATTCCATGGTTCTCAATGAAAATGAGTAGAACCTCCATAGTCCATATATATGGTATTTAATAAAATTAAAAATGAAAATTTATCTACTTGCATGTTTATTTTTTTCATGGTGAATTGGTTACCGAATATATAGATATTTTTAAGGTAAACATTTACGTTGGTTTCAAATAAGCACAAATTCTCCATGTATATGTATATATCCACATTTGTAGCTTTATATAAATTAAGCCACGGTTGTTGAATCTCATGTAAGTTAGGTTGTGGTTGTATAATTGCATTAGTTGCACAACTTCATCACTACAAAAAAATCTTTATCCAAGTTCTAAGATAATAAAAAAAACTAAAACTAAAATTAAATCAAACATAATAAAAAAAAAAAAAAACTAAAATTAAATCAAACGAACCCATTAAAATTTTATAATAACAGGGCATTCCTCAAGTAAAAAGACCGTTCCATAACCGAAGAGTTCAAAAATGGTGTGTATAAAGATCTTATCTCGTACCCATTTAATCAAATGCAAGAAATGTGTTACATGGGCTAAAAAATTGRAAACCCGAGCCCTTATGTAATCTAAGGAAATACCTCCTCACATCTGGTTTCTAGAGGCAGTTCAGTATGACGTTGGATGGGATCGTTGTAATCAATCTTTTGCTCAAGTACAAAACGATCATCTTTCAAGTCATAGTAATGACTATATATCTAGCTTACTAATAGTTGTATAATTCAACGAACCCCATTTGTATGTTTATGTACAATCTTCATGTTATACACAATCATCGTCATATACGATTTGCCAGAGCTTCATGAATCAAACGAAAATGGAGGTTTCAAMAGATCATAAGGTGCCCAAAGAGCATCCAATGGACATGGTCTCTCGGCATCCAGTCTCACCCATGGTTTACTTTTACCACTCCAATGCAATAAACTCACGGGTCCCGGATGYAAATCCCTACAAAGCCCACGAAAATTATCACCGCCGAGCCCATGCTGGTTCCACCGGTGATCCACCGGAGCTATCTTCCCGGCAAAGACAAGCAAGAATGGCGGTAGAGATCCTAGTTCATAAATCCTAAGTCGTTTCTGTAGCTCCATCCATTCTTCTATCTTTGTCGTGTAGTCACCRGCACGCCACCGGTCTAAGTCCATCACCATCACTCCGGTGTTGAAGTAGCAAGGTTTCCGGTGATCAAAAGTGGAGGAAAGTGATGGGTTTGACCAGAAAGTTGGTGTAAAGTAGAACGTAAAGTTGGCGTTGCAATATTCCGGCGCGGCGAGAATGGCGTCGCCGAGGGGAGTGGCGGCGAGCTTTGCGATGTCGTCGACGAGCACAAGGTCAGAATCGAGGTACACCACTTTGCTGACATGGAGTGGGAGTATGTTAGCGAGGTAGCTCCGGGCATAGTTTAGGGGGCAGTCAAGGGCGGCGCGTATGGAGGTGGAGATAAGTCCGGCCACCAGGGAATCGTCAAAAGGGTAGACGTCGAATTTAAGGTAAGGAAAGGAGTTGGCAATGGTGGCGCGTAGRAGGGAGGTGTCGGAGGAGGCGGAGGTGACAAAGTGGAAGATGATGTTTTCCGGGCAGGAGGAGTGTTGGAGGACAGATAGAATGGCCGCCATTGATCCACGGATGTAGGCGGCATCGAGGGTCATGGCGACATGAACGGTGGAATCATCACCGGTGTTGAAATCATGGGTGTGTATAATTGAAGGGCATTCCGGCGAGTTGTAAAACTGTGGGGCTTCTTTGAATTGTTGTGAGATAGTGGTGGTTCCGGTGGAGGGAGGGAGGAGGAGGAGGAGGAGATAGACGGAAAGGAAGTGAATCATGGTGGGTGGCCGGAGATACGGTGAAGTCGGAGAGTTGTAGTGGTATTTAAAGGAAGATACCAAACAGTGGATTGGGTTTAAAGCAAGGACCATTTTAAGTCTCCAAGGAACATATAGGATTAAAGTKTTGAGAGCCAAATAAAATTATAATAAATTTAAAAACCAATGTATTATTTGCGGTTTGAATTTAATTTCTTGATTAATATATTTATTTTATAATATGAAATTTGTTATTTCTTTGTAAAACAAAAAATAGTATTAGATATATATATATATATATATATATATAAAACAAATTAAATGTATTGTGAAACAAATATATGTTAATTAATATATAATGTAACTTTTAAAATTCAATAAATTCAAAAAAGTAAACTAGCTTGTCGTTATCAAATATGGTCGAACCATAAGAATAGAAACAGAACATTTAATTTGATGGTACGACTACGTTCTGATACTAGTTCTTAATCGATAAAATGCATAAAAGAATTCATTGCAAGTTTAGGTATAATTTTATATCGTTTAACGTTTATAAATGACGGTAAATAACAACATTCCAAGTTGCACAGACCTACTAAGAGGGTAGGGAGTGTACGGGTTATCGCTCAATTGTCTCATTACAAAATAAAAAATAAAAATATCAGTGGCTTTAAAGGTGTACCCAYTTAATTTTGAGAAGTGACTTTAAATATTTTAAATCCAAACTTATAGAAAATATGAAGTAGCTGAGATGGTCGTGTTAATACTTGTCTTTGAAATTCTGTACAATTTTTCACCCTTATGGTCTAATAGTGCAATCGTTTGAATTTTTTTGTTACATTAATACTTGTGTATCATTTTTACTGAAAATCGTACTTTTTATTATTATATATATATATATATATTATGATATTTCTTTTGTGTATTCATTGAGCAAAAACTTCGGATCCGCCTCTAATTCCATGTTCTCCGGTCCATATTGCTTTGACCATATAAGATTCAATTCCGCTTGATATAAAAATTGTTATATATGATTTTGAACCTAAACGTCTATAACGACATAAAACCAATACGTCCAAAGAAACCCATGTATCTAATCGAAAACAACATACAAAGTGCATCGGAGATTCAATAACACTCGTCAATTAGAAACAAAAATGGAATAAAAACCGACTGTTACCAAACGTTTTTTTTTTAATTCAACTTTTATAACAATAACAACACAACAAAAAAGATATAAAACTTGTATTTTCTTTTGGTATGATTTACGCATTTGACCATGTCTCTCTTGATATTAAAATGGCTAAAACAGGTGGTGGTTGATGCTTTATGTCCCATATGGCATTCAAATGTCTATTCAAAGACAAAAGGAGGGGTTGAGGGGTAARACAGTAATTTCACATGTATTTTGTGTGTGTTATTTTTCACCATCTTTATCGATTGTTGAGATGCAACGTTTGGTGAAAGGGGTACGTGAGCGACCAAAGGCTTTTACCACATACAACTCTAAGCAAAAGCAACACTTCAACTTCTATATATATTATTTTTTTTATAAGAAAAATTATATCAAAATAGAATCAACTTTCACCTGATTTCTATTTTGAGGAACCAACTTTCAAAATCATCATTTAAGAGTCTCTATCAAACTTTTTGTTTATTTAAGGGTCTGGTTGATCTGTTGAACATGTAACAGGTAATTTAAGAGTCTCTATCAAATTTTTGGTTTGATTTGTCAAATTTGATTTAAACTTTAATATTGATACGGATTGGTTAGATATAAAAATCTTGAATATGATATTTAATATTTATTTTTTATTGCATCAATTAATTTTTTTCTATTAAATTGAATTTTATTGCATTAGTAACAAAACAATTTTTATTGTGGTAATTTGGATTTTTTTGAAAAAATCTCCAATTTGATATCTGATTTTTTAAAAAAAAAAACGAGATTTGAAATGAAAAATAGATTTTATTGCATTAATTTTTGAAATTTGTTTTTTTAGTTATTTTTCTATAATTATTTTACAAGTTGGTTCCCCAAAATAGGAATCAGGTGCAAGTTGGTTCCCCAAAATGACGATTTTGAAAGTTGGTTTCTCAAAATAGAAATCAGGTGAAAGTTGATTCTATTTTGGTGTAATTTTCCTTTTTTTTATATTCGTTTATTTTCAACTTCCATATTTATACGACGGTAACAACCACTGTTTGTTTTTTTTAACCACAAGGATGGTGCCTAATTGGTTTGAGCTTAACTCCAAAGGTTAAAGGTACCAGGAGGTCACATGTTCAAATCCAAGTAGAAATAAAAATCCCTTTGTGGCCACGGAAGTTCAAATCCGGTGACTCCGGGCTATCTGTAAAACAGATGGTTGCCTTGGGATTAGTCGGCTCACATAGCGGGTTGGATATTCAGGTTAATCAAAAAAAAAAAAANTTGCATTAGTAAAAAACAATTTTTATTGTGGTAATTTGGATTTTTTTTGAAAAAATCTTCAATTTGATATCTAAATTTTTTTAAAAAAACGAGATTCGAAATAAAAAATAGATTTTATTGCATTAATTTTTGAAAAAAATGAATTTTAGTTATTTTTCTATAATTATTTTGCAAGTTGGTTCCCTAAAATAGGAATAAGGTGCAAGTTGGTTCCCCAAAATGACCATTTTGAAAGTTGGTTCCTCAAAATAGGAATTAGGTGAAAGTTGATTCTATTTCGGTGTAATTTTTTTTTTATATTCGTTTATTTTCAACTTCCATATTTATACGACGGTAACAACCACTGTTTGTTTTTTTTAACCACAAGAGTTGTGTCTAATTGGTTTGAGCTTAACTCCAAAGGTTAAAAGTATCAGGATGTCACATGTTCAAATCCAAGTAGAAATAAAAATTCTCTTGTGGCCACGGAGGTTCAAATCCGATGACTCCGGGCTATCTATAAAACAGATGGTTGCCTTGGGATTAGTCGGCTCACATAGCGGGTTGGATATTCAGGTTAATCAAAAAAAAAAAAAAAGAACCAACACCCACTGTTCTAAAAAATCCATTAAATTCCGATCGGTTGAGACTTTTCAGAACGAGAAGGGTGATCGACGGCTACTTTTTTTCACCCCTTAGTTTACTGAACTTTAGGGGGTGCCAATATATTTACTTAGAACGAGTTGATTTTGATTRTATTTTATCTTCTAAAAGGTAAAATGAAAAAAAATTAGTTTAAACAAGTTAAATTGGTCGAAATTCAACTCAAAGTATATTGAAATGTTTGGAATCTTCTAGACGTTTAATTAYAAGCAATTAGATTATTTTTATAATTTGGATTTTGTAGTCATATTAGATACATTATTTACATAAAAATTCTTGAAATTGAAAAAAAAAATTGTTGACGAGTGAACCGATCAACATTAAGACTTAAAAGATTGGTCTAGTCAAACATTTATCCGGTAAGTGCTTACTGGTAAAATTTAACACTATTTTGTACTTATCAGGTAAGATTTTAGTCCACCAAAACGATATAGTATACAACAATTTACCCGGTAAGCGTTTACCGTGGTAAGAGTCGTCGCCCTCACTTACCGGGTAAAACTCTTGATCCTTGTTTCACTCTTACCAGGTAAGATTTTTGGTTCTTACTATATTCATCCTGTGGGTTAATATTAATTAGTAAGCGCTTACCCAAGTAAGCATTTGGTAAACAACCTTAATTAAATAAACGTGGACTGGCCCTAGATGACTTGAATTAGAAGTTTAATATGAATCAATAGAGTTGTAGATTGTCCCATTGGACTTATTCATATTTGACTATTGGGTTTCTTTTAAAATTGTGATGAATTTACGATTTTGACCCTGGAATAAGAAAGTTACCAAGTAGTATACTAGTATAGTATGGTGGGAGAAAATTGTAATATTAATGTGGTGGTGTTTGCCCATGTATTTGGTGTTCCATGGCATGGCAATCCATTTCTACACCCATAACTCKACTATGCCTCTATTTAATTTATATCAATCAATAAATATCCAAACATAAAGAWAAAACAATATCCAAATTTTCTAAAATATTCCCAATTAATAATTATATAATAACAGATTAAATGAGAGCAGATACTCATAAACGTATTCAGTTAATTGATTTAATAGAATAAACATGGATACGTAAGTATATGTGAACGTAACTGTCTRTTTGATGATGCTTTCTGAAAACGAATGAAAGCTTTTTTGTATTTATTATCTTGACTATCGACCAGGTCAGAGGAAACTACAGAAATGTCAAGTTGATATCAATTGAAAGGGTAAGAGAAGATGCATGAAACGATTATTAATTAAATTAATGATAAATAACTTAATYAATATGAATCAATTTTCTTTTGGACTCGGTGTATTTTTCCACAACTGACCAYCACCTTTCGATTTTAGACAAGGGGCCTATGACAAGTGCATATAGTCACTCTCATGTTGTCTAGGACCAAACAAATTATACGATTGATTTACAGGTTTAAATTATATTTTTCGTGTTGTCTAGAAATTAAGTTATAATCCAGTGTCGTCTTGAATCTCGTCTCTCTAAATTTCTTATCTTACTCATTAGTACATGATGTTTTGGTTAACAAAACGACAACGTTATAGTGTTATTAGACTTTTACAAGTCAAGTTCGCTTAAGACCATATAAAAAGACGTCTTTAAACCATTTGGTTTGTGGTGTACTCGTTAATCTTCATGGGATGTAGTAAAAAATCTCATTTATTCTGGGTTCGAATTYAGACGCTACCAAAGTTCTTGCGTCTACAGAGGTTCACATACGATGACTCCATGCTATTCTTGGTCGTCCAAGGGATTAGTCGGTGCACGTAAGCTGACYCGGACACCTATGGTTACCAAAAAAAAAGACGTCTTTACATTTTCTTTTACTAAAAATATCATATATTGTTGTTATTAWAATGCCAAAATGAATAAAATTCAATGTATTTCGCCTGATTTCTGTTTAGTAAAACAAAA